AGGCCTCTGGGCCATGATATGTGAGTCACAGGGGCTTCAGACCAGCCAGGCCAGTGGTTTCCAATCACCTGGGCAGCGAGTTAATGGATTCCTGGCTCTGGCTTCTAGACAGGGTGATTGTGCGGACCTGGAGCACGGAGGCCTCAGATGCTAGAAGTCTGGGCTTAATTTGGGTGGCAATAGGGAGCCACTAAGCTCTACTGGGCAGCCACCCTCAATGACCTAATTTGGATACACTCTCAGAACAGTGTCTGGCATGTAGTAAGCACTCAGTACACGTTAACACCCATATTGTTGTTGTTAGCAGTAGTATTACTGAACCAGGGACCTGGGCCAATGGATTTTGAAGACCTCGTGGGTGACTCTGGGCCCTAGCCAGAGTTGATAACCACTGTGCCACGGCCTTAGCTCCTTGAGTCCAGAGATTGTCTTGTGGTCTCTGAAACCCCAGCCCAGGACTTAATAGGAAGTTGATAAGTGCTTGTGTGATCAGGTTGCAGGAGGGATGCTGGATGGGCTAGTAGAGGCTGGAGGCAGGGAGTCCAGGGAGGAGGCAGTTGGAGAAGGAGAGAGAGAAAATCATTGGGGCTCATTCATGGGAGACAAGGGGGATGTCATGGTCCACTCCCAGGTGTCTGGTCTGGGGAGTGGACCAGGTAGGTGATGGAGCCGTGGAATCGGGGTCCAGGTGGCTGGGATGCTGAGAGATGATAGAGCCTGTGGGTTTGAGCCACCAGAAGGCAGTTGGCTTCAGGGGGGATGGAGATGAGGACATCGAGTTGGGGAGGGGTGAGAACTCTTTTAAGAACTTCAACTGTGGGAATTCCCAGGCGGTCCAGTGGTTAGGACTCAGTGCTTTCACTGACATGGCCTGGGTTCAATCCCTGGTCAGGGAACTAAAAAAAAAAAAAAAAAGACCTTCAGCTGTGAAGCGGGGAGAGAGAAAGAGCGGCTGGCAGGGGAGATGAGGCCGGACCGTTTTTACCACCAGGGTGAGAGGGGCGAGCACGTTTGTGCGCTGATGTGCAGGAGACAGGAGTGAGGGAGATGCTGACAGCACAGCTCAAGCAGCGGCCGACCCGGGCCAGCTTCCCGGGAGGCAGGAGGGGCAGTTGGCCTTGGACAAGAGGAGAGCCCCTTGGAGGCTTGAGAGGGGTGTAATTAGGGTCAATGGGTAAGAAAATTCAGGTGCTCCTGCTTTTCCAGAATGTTTTCTTGGCTCAGGGAGGAGGACCCTGTGGGCAGAGGACGATGTGGCTGTGGATTTGGGGTGACTGCCTGGAGAGGCCTGGATCGGGAGCTGTGGCCATGGGACAGGGGGGCGCTGCGGGTGTGGTGGGAGCCCCGCCTTGCCCACCCTGGGCTGTTGGGGCTGATGGAGTGGGCGTGGTCTGAGCTGGAGGAGGCTCTGCTCCTGGGCGTGAGGCCCGTCCTTGACCCGCTAAACCTCAGCCTCCAGGAAAGAGACTAAAAATAAGGCTGTGGTGAGGAAGGGAGGCGGGGTGTGGGTCCAAGCTTGCCTGGAGCCCAGAGGAAAATCTGAGACAACGGTCCGGGCTGCTGTGACACACGCTCCCCGTGCCAGTGGCCAGTGGGATCTCACTCTCCTGCAGCCATGGCCCTTGGCAGGCCTTGAAGAGGGAAAACAACCGAGAAAGGCTCAGGCAGGGCCTGACCTAGGGTCTTACGGCCTGTACGAGGCCCTGTTCCCTGGAAGGGTTTCTCTGGCCTTCTGCCTGGAGCTCAGGCCTTGGACCCAAGACTGGGTTGCCGGGGGGTACAGGGGTGGGGACATCCAAAGCTGCCTGCGCCTTGGGGTCTAGACTGCTCAGGAGTTCCCAGGGACCCTGGATGCCCATCTGGGTATGGTGAAATATTCCTCCCCCTTACGAGGAACTCTGTTCAGTAGAGGAAGTCAAGGAAGGCTTCCTGGGACTTCCCTGGCGGTCCAGTGGTTGAGACTTAGCCTTCCAATGCAGGGGGTTTGGGTTGGATGCCTGGTCAGGGAGCTGGGATCCCACATGCTGCAGGGCCAAGGACCCAAAGTATGGAACAGAGGCAGTGTTGTAGCAAGTTCAATGAAGACTTTGAAAATGGTCCACATCAAAAAAAAAATCTTAAAAAAAAAAAAAAGGAAGGCTTCCTGGAGGCAGAGGCAAATACTGGACCTTAAAGTCATGGGTAGGGGAGTGCGTCCAGTCAGATAGCTAGGATGTGCCTTGGGGAGGAAGCAAGGGTGTTTTGGTTTGCTGTGGACACATGCCGCCTTTATGATGACCACTTTGATATGGTCTCCCTCCCAGAAAGTGGGCCTGCGGTTGCTGCAGATCCGCGCCCTCCTCTGGGCCGTGCGTGGGGACCCAGAGTGCAGGGCCCAGGGGGAGTTTTACCCTCCTACCGTCTCCTGACTCTATCCATCCTTCCGTCTACCCAATGCCTAAATTGTGATGGTCTCTGTCCTGGGTTCCGGAGATGACTTGCCATGGTCCCAGCTCTCAGGGGGCTCATGATCAGGGGGGTGAGGCAGGCCCCCGCCCATCACCTATGCATCCATGGCACAAACAGTCACTGTGTGCCGGACCCCGGGCTGGGGGGCAAGAGTGAACCACGCAGAGGCTGTGTGGCAGAAAAACAAGCTTTGGTTTTTGATAATAGACCCGGTTTCAAATCTCACCCCTGACATCTCATGTGCTGCATGACACGTTATTTCATTTCTTGGAGCCTCAGTTTCCTCATATGTAAAATGGGGATGATAGTCATAGCTAAGCCTGGGTAGCAGGGAGCCTCACACAGTACCTGGAACTTAGCAGGAACCAGCAGCTAGTGGCTCTTTGCTCCCGGCCACAGTGGATCCAAGGAGCTCATATCCGTGTCCCTCTGTCATCTCTGTAGATCAAACTAATCCTGGTGTGACAAGTGTTAAAACAAGGATGGACAGGGGAGCGTGGGGGCAACTAGCTTATGGAGGGTGGTGGGAGGGGGAGAAATTAGGGAAGACTTCCCGGAAGAGGAGGCATCTAAACTAGTCTTGAAGGTATGGCGAGAATTAGCTCAGCCAACAAAATTGCACCAGGGTAAGAAGAGGGAACGTGTGTAGTCAGGGGCCCATGAGTAGTTTGGGGTGGCTAGGGTATGGGGTGCGGGGTGGTGTCCTGAGAAGTGAGTCTGGAGGGTGGGGTTGGCGGGGGTGAACCTGCAGCCCCACGGCCTGCTGAAGGCAGGGGAGCCGCAGGTGACGGTGATTCTGCAGGAGAGGGATGTGATTGGATCAGGAGACTATAGAGGCCCTGGCTCAGGTCTGGGAGTGGGCTGTGAGGCCGGGAGGTGAGCGTGGGTGGCTCCCCAAGGTCGGGCCCAGCCATGCCACCCACCGAGCCTGATCGAACTCAGGGCCTCTGAGGCTGGGTCGGGGCACCTCGGAGATCCCACTTGGTGGACCTGCCATCCGCAGGCCCAGGACCGGCCCCTGGTTTCCGCCTTCAAGGTAAAGTCCCAGCCGCCCTGGTTAGTAAGTCATTAGTTGGGTCTCACACAGCCTCTTCATTATGGGTAATTATGGTGAATCCACTCTGGGTATTAACAAGGAGGAGACCAGCTGCTCTTGGCTGTCAGGCTGCTAGAACAGGAAATCCCTCAGCATCCCATGTCTGGGTCTTGGGTGGGGGGACAGTGGCTTCTTCCCCAGCCCCAGCCACTGGACGGGACCCTCGTACTGTGTTTGGAGATTCCACTTTCACCCGTTTCCCTGTGGTGTGACTTTGAACATGTGGCTTACCCTTCTGTGCCTCAGTTTCCTCATCTATCCAGTGAGATGATAGTACCAGCCTCATAGGGTTGTGTGAGGGTTAAACTAATGAAGCACTTAATGCTCAATAATACGAACCATCATCATTTAAAATGCTGACGTCATCATCACCATCGCGTCGAATAGTTCTGGGAGTCCCCCGAAGGCAGGGTCCTGGTCCCTTCCTCTGTCCCCTACATGGGGAGCTCCTGAGACAGGCCCTGTCTCCTTTCTCCCCTCTTTCTTCTCAGTGCAGACGTGCAGTGGTCAGGGGGACTCTGGCCTGTGGCCCAGCCTCCTGCTGTCCTCAGATAAGCTGAGGCAGGGGCCCTGGGAGCTGTGGGGCTGGGGGTTGGGCTTACCCCAGAGCCCTGGTTGAGGGCTGCACGAGGTCAGAGGGGGCTGGGCAGTTGCTGGCCTCTATACAGCCACGGCTGGGTCTGTCCACAGCTGTCGATCGTTTCTAGTTGTTCTGGTTGCCGCCCCCCCTTTGATGTAAAAAGCCCTAACGAACGCAGAGGTGGCTGGGAGTTGGGAGAAGGGCAGACATGGCCTCAAGGGCTCCCCTTCCGCCAGGAAAGCAGACCCGGAGCCCCGTCTGCTTCCCTCTGCCTCTGGGCTCCTGCATCAGAAAACTGGGAGTCCTGGTTATTGTCCCGAGGACAGCTGGGGGAGCACATGTTTGTGCACACGTGCAGGTGAGCGGGTGTGTGTGTTGCCTGTGAGCCCTCTCCGCCCTCTCCTCGGCCAGGGGGCTTCTCCTGCAGCTTTCAGTGGCTGCCCACCCACTCTCCGGGCTGTGGGCTTTGTGGTCTCCTCTGACGGCAGGGTCCACGTCTGGGGACCCAGCACTTAGTCTGGGGCTGAGCTGCAGATGGGCCAGAGGCCCAGGCTGGTAGGAGGCTTGGCTGCCCCGCTGGGCCGAGTAACCATGGAGGAGCCTCACCTGTCTGCGCCTTGGACCCCACACTGGCCGAGTGAGGGGATGTGGTCCTGTCCCCAGTGTGAGCACCTCAGGGTAGAAGCTTGGCCTCCAAGGTTTCTGGTGGCCTGGCTAAACTCGGCAGGGTGGGGTTCTGTAGATGGGGCCAGGCTGGGCCCTGCAAGGTGGAAAGAGGGCTGGGCTGGGGCTGAGGGTCGCCTAGGTGGGGTGTGCGAATGGGGGCACCCAGGCGTCAGGCGTCGCCAGTAAGCACCCTCTGTCTTCTCCTCCCAGGTGTCCTTCTGGACATCCAGCAGCACTTTGGGGTCAAGGACCGAGGCGCCGGCTTGCTGCAGTCAGGTGAGGTCCCCCTCCCGCCCTGGCCCCCCTCCTGCTTTCTAATACCTGGTGGGGATTCCCTGCCTGTCTCTTCCCCGGTCCTGACTCACTGGAAAGGGCGTGAGTTTTGTGTCCAAATCCCACCTTTGCCTCTCACAAAAGGCACCACTTCCCCCAGCCTCTGCTTCTATTCTTGTGAAACAAAGCAAATAACACCTGCCCTGAGGGCCTGTGGGTGAGATACAGGAATGCAGGCAACCTGGGAGTCACCTCTCAGATGCCCAAACAGGAAACTCCAGCTGGTCAGCCCCAGAGCCTCTCGCAGGCCCAGGGCAGGAGCCTGAGAACCTGGGTCCCAGACTAGACCTGGGCTTGAGGTTCTCGGCCCCTCACCCCCCGGGGTCCAGCCTTGGGACTGGTGGGGAGGCAGGGCCCGAGCCCCCCTGGGCCAGGGCAGCATGGCAGGTGATTAAGCAGCTATTCCAGCCTCTGCCCCTCCCTCCAGGGTCCATGTCAACCTCGTGACTGCCCTGCCTGCTGTGTAGCCCTGTAGGACCTGAGCTCTTGGCCCTCCACTGGCTGCGGCCCTGCCGGCTGTGCCCTCTGCAGGACCCTCAGGCCTGGGCAGAGCCAGTATTTCATCCCAGGGCTGGTTCTGACTCGGCCTTGACCTTGCTGTTTCCCCTTGGTCCTGGAGTCCATCTGGCCGTGAGGCCCAGTTAGATGTGGCTGCGAAGGTGCATGGTCTGCATTCCACTCTGGGAACCCCGTCCCCTCCCGGGCTCTCCTGGGAGGGAGGGGCAGAGAGGCTGGCTCTGTCCAGGAACCTGCCTGACCTGTCTGGGTGGCATTCCACCACGCACTGTGCCAGGCCTCCACGGCCTCCTTGAGCCACAGCCATTCAGCTAGGCTCAGTGCCCATCCTCATTTCCTAGATGGGGCCTCTGGGGCTCAGAGAGGGGAGATGAAAGCTCCAGGGTTCAGCCCGAATACATGAGAATTAACCGAGCTGGGACTATAGGGCAAGGCTGTGCCGTCCAGTTCCTCCTAAGGGCGCCCAGGCCCCTGCCGCTGCAGACATCACCTCCACCCGGAATGTGAGCCCAAGCCCCTCTGCTGGCTCGGCCCCCCCCCCCCGCCCCCCTTGCTTGGCCTCCCTGGCTAGGTCAGAGCAAGTCCTCCTGACCCGGGGCCTGGGACAGGTTCCTCTAGCCTCCTGGGCTCCGTGCAATGCAGTGACCAGCACTTACAGCTGGAGAGACAGAGTTGAAGCCGGATGGGAGTGTGGGAGGGATCAGGCTGCCGAGCTGGTGAGGGAAGGGCAGGAGGGAGCCTAGCTGCCCATCCCCCTGCTCCGTGGCCCCTGAGTCACTGGGGACCCAGCCCGAGCCTCATCCCCCTCCTGCTCTGGCCTCCTCCATTCAACTCTCACTGATGGAGGTCAGGGCCAGTGTAGCCACCCAGGGAGCGGGTTGGGAGGGCTGCGAGGGTCCTAGCGCTGCCTCAATTATGTCCCAGGCTGTGTCCTTCTTATCCCTGGCGACCTGGCCGGAGGGGGATAAGTCATCCATAGCATCATCTTGTTTCTTCCTCCTACAAGCCCCCTTTGCTCAGCTTCACTTTCCAAATGGAAGGACAGAGGTCAAGAGAGGGGAAATGACTTGTTTAAGGTCTCATGGTGAGAGAGTAGCAGGCCTGACACTGGGACTTCCTCTTGGCTTGGGTTGGGGGCACAGATGGCCGCTGGATTGGTGAGGCTTATCCCAGGTATCTGAGTGTCTGGCATCTCAGCGTTCTCGGGGTGGGTGCCTCTGGGCCATGGTGAGAGTTCCCAGCACTCTCCGAGACCCTCTAGTCATTACTCTGCGGCCCTCACCCTCCCACCTACCCTGGGCACAGCTGGAATGGCTCCCCAGAATGTCCTTGCCTCTCTGGCCAACTGAGCCAAGAAGCCAGGTGGGCTAGACCAGGATGTGACCCAATGGGCTACCAGGCAGGTCACCTAATTGGCCTCGGCCCCATGCACCTGGCTCTTCCCTGATAGGGTCAGAGCCAGGTGTTGCTGCTTGCCCAGATCAAAGGGCCAGGGCTGACAGCTGGGGTGCCTGCTTATTTGTGGGCACCAGGAGCTGCTGGGCCAGGAGACAGGGTCGGGGGGTGGGGCGTGGGGTGGCTGAGAGTTCGGCCTGGGCCTGCCCCTGCTGTTTCCCCTCGGGACCAACTCAGGGCTGGGGTTCGTGGCATCATGAGGAAGTGTCAGGATTGGGAGGCGGGGGCAGGGGGAGAGTGGGGACAGAGGAAGAGCCAGCTCAGACTGAAACCAGACGGCGCCTTTGCTTTGGGACCAAGTCTCCTTCTGGCCTTTCTCCCTCCTCACTTTGGCCAGCCTTGCAATATCCTCCCGCTTCGACAGAGACTCAGGTTCTGAAGGCAGAGCTGGGCAGCCCCCGTGGCTCTCCCCGCAGGACCCTCCTGTTAGAAGGAAGGCCCGAGAATCTCCCTCCCTGAGGCCTCAGTGGCCAACCTAGGGTTTATATTCTGAGCAGAGTCTGAAGGAGGAGTGGTTCCCATTCCTCCCGTAGGGGCTCTGAGTCTGGTGGGCTTCCGGGTACCGATGGTGCCGGCTGTTCTGGGTCCTCCCCATCCTGTGGGCAGGGAGGGTGCTCGGGCAGGGCCTGACCCCACCCACCCCATGCCTGCCGGAGCACCCTCCCTGCCCACAGGATGTGGAGGATGGCGAGTCTCCTCCAAATAACCAGTTGGCCAGATCCGGACTTTGTAAAAATAGACCTGGTTCAGCCCAGGCTGAGGTGGGGCTGGACATGTGCTCTAAGGCCACAGTCTGGGGGCTCAGGGCTCCCCCAGCGCAGACCTCACCCGCTTCTGCTCCAGGGCCACCTTCTCAGCAGCTCCGTGGGTTCGGAGTGCAGGTGGTCCGGGGGCTGCCTGCAGGGGCGCAGAACCCTCAGTGGGAGTCGTTTCAAGCTTTGGGTGCTGACCTCCAACCAGCACCATGAGAGGTGGGTGGCGCCTTAGGGATGCTGCCCGATCCCTGTCTCCTTGATGACCTCCTGCCGGCCCTGTGAGGAGGGGCGCATCACCCGTCTTGCAGAGGAGGGAGTGAGGCTCAGCCCCAGCTTCTCCGGGTGAGCCAGGGGCTCTGACTCCTCCCCCTCAGCCCTCCACGGCCCTGCCCCCTGCCCTGGCTCCCTGCCAGCGGCTCCATTGTCCCAGACCTGTGGGCTCAGCACACGTGAGCTGACGGAGGGCTTCCCCACACCCCGACCACAGGATGTCCTCGTGCCGGGAAAGCCGGCCCTGCGGAGACCAGGGGTGGGGCAGCCAGTCTGCCCAGAAAGCTCTCCTCAACCAGACAAAGACTGTGGGGTTGTGGGTGCTGAGCCCAGGAAGCTTCTAGGCCGGGCTGTTCTTTATTTTCAGCAGGGCTTCCTGCTGGCTGGAGAAGGGTCTGCGCCCCCATCTGGGACATGGGTCACCTGCCCAGGCCTTTGCCTGTGCTGTTGCTGCTGCTGCTGCTGCTTTTTTTAAAATTAATTATTTGGCTGCGTTGGGTCTTCATTGCTGCGCGCGGGCGTTCTCTAGTTACAGCGAGTGGCAGCTACCCTTCGTTGCTGTGCGCGGGCTTCTCATTGCAGTGGCTTCTCTTGTTGCGGAGCACGGGCTCTAGGCGTGCAGGCTTCAGTAGTTGTGGCATGCAGGCTCAGTAGTTCTGGCTCGTGGGCTCTAGAGTGCAGGCTCAGTAGTTGTGGCGCACGGGCTTAGTTGCTCTGTGGCATGTGGGATCTTCCCGGACCAGGGCTCGAACCTGTGTCCCCTGCATTGGCAGGTGGATTCTTAACCACCACGCCACCAGGGAAGCCCCTGTGCTGTTCCTTCTGCCAGGAATTTATTTCCCTCCAGGCCCTACCTAGTTGTGTTCAGGCCTCTCTGCTGGCTGGTGACAACCCTGAGGGCCAGGAGAGGCCCTTTCTCTTGGCTCCCCAGAGCAGAAGGGAGGGCTGGAAAGATGGATTGTGTCTCCCTGCTGACCTTGGATTCCCTTGTCCCCAAGGGGAAGGCCCTGAGAGACAAGAGAGTCCAGGGTCGGGAGGGTTGCTGTGTCATCTTGGGCAAGTTCTTCCACCTTCCAGTGGCCCCAGCTGTACAATGGGACCGACGGTAAAACTCAGGTTGGGACTTGGTGACCTTTGGCGGGACAGGGGTGGGGATGGGGTGTGGCTGCCCCAGCAGGAGTCCATCTGAAGTCCCAGGTGCCTCTGCCCACCCGGAAGAGCAGGCAGAAAGCCAGCGGGGAAAGCACTAGGGGGGCTGCCTTCCGGTTCTGCTGTGGACAGGAGGATAGGGATGGACCAGGATGGCTGAGGTCTGGCTCACCTCCTCCAGCCCCTCTGCACCCACCCAGTGGGTGCTCCTCCTTGAAGGGGGAGAACAGTGTGCTGTGGATCTCCACTGCCCTCTAACTAACACCAAACCTGGAACTAGGGGTTAGGGCCCGATCTCCCTCAGTGGTCTCCTCTCCCACTGCTTCCTCTCTCTATCACCTTCCCAGCCTACAGCCTCATGCGTCTTCCTGCTGTCCCCGACACACCCTGAACTTTCTCTGACCTTTGGAACATCAGCTGGGATCTTCTGCCTTCCCAGCCTGGCCACCTGTGGTGTGATTTAGAGCAAGGACTCTGGAGTCAAACTGGGGTATAAATTCTGGCTTAGCCACACACGAGCTGTATGATGTCACTACTTTTAGCCTCTACTGTTTCCTCCGTAAGATGAAGGTAATAGGGAGAATCAAATGAGATCATCTGTGCTTATGGCCAGGGCACATCCATGAACGGTAACTGCAGTTATTACTAACAATAAGCATTATGCCTCATTAACCATTATACAGTCTTATAAGATTTGTAATTCATATTTTAGTATACTTGATTTTAAGTAGTATCATCAGGGTGAACTCCTATGCAGCCTTCAGTGCCCTGCTCTGCTATCACTGCCTCTATGAAGCCTCCCTTCATTGCCTTGGTAGGATTTGGCCCTCCTTGCTGGTTCCCTGGCATTTTAACTCTTTAAGCTGGGCAACCCATGGACAGGGTCTGCTTCTTGGCCAGACAGGGGGGCAACTCCTATTCTGATTCTTTCTGTCCACTCCTCACCTAATACAGACAGGCATAGAGGCAACAATTCTTCCTTCTCCCCTAACATGTGTAAGTCCTGATGAGACTGAAATCTCTTTCCAGCCCATATCCTGGTCTGATCTCAGGCAGGTCCTGGGAGACAGACCCAGCAGGAAAAATTCTTTTTCTAGATAAGAGGAAATAATTCCTACCTTGACGGATCTAAACAAGGGCCCAGTGTTGACCAAGAGCTGACCCCCTCTGGGTATGGGCAGGACGTGGCATTAAGCACCTTACACGCATTATCTCATCCAGTGCTCAGAGCAAGCAGGGAGTTGCTATTTTTATCTTTATTTTACAGATGAGGAAGTCGGCGTGCTGGAGGTGGCTTAGCTTCATGAGAGTTGATTGTTAAGTTTTCAGGAATTGTGTGAGCTGGTTGTTAAGCACAACCGTTATTACAAACTGAATTATATAAACTTACAATTACACAACATCACAGCAGAGCACAGGGAGATGGGCTCGGTGCTTCGCGATGACCTAGAGGGGTGGGATAGGGAGGGTGGGAGGGAGGCTCAAGAGGGAGGGGATGTGGGGATATATGTATATGTATAGCTGATTCACTTTGTTATAAAGCAGAAACTAACACAGCATTGTAAAGCAATTATACAGTTATACTTTGTATAATTATACTCCAAAGAGCTATTAAAAAGAAAAACCCAAAGGTAATAAACATTCAGAATTCATCACCCCCTAATTATTTTGCTACCTTTCACTATTATCTACGTTCTTAAGGTTATTTACGTCTGTTGGATCTAGGTGGTAGAAATACTCTATGTACAACTCTGTGACTGCATCTCTCTTCCCAACTCTGATTAGTGACATCGCCTTGGTAGCTTGAAATCAGGCCATGGTGGGAGGATGTGCACCATGAAAATGGGCAAACACTACACATCAGGGCTCCCCCCCACCCCGCCTCATTTTTGGAGAGCCAGTTGCTAAACATTTATCAGCACACCACTGAATTGAGGGACAGAGAGGTTGTGACCTTCCCAAGGTCACCCAGCTGGAAAGGAATAGAGCTGAATTCAAGGCCAGGCACTGCGTCTCTGGTGCCCAGATTCGTGCACCTCTCTGCTGATTCTGCCCGAGACCCCAGTCACACAGTTGGGATTAAAAGATTGCCCCCCACACCCATACACGCTCACCATCCTGCTCCCTGGGATAAGTGAGGGACAGTCGCGCTGCACCAGCCCAGCCTGCTCTCACCGCCTTGCCTCCTTCCTCCCCTCCCTCTATCTCTTCTCCTAGGGGCTCAGGTCTGTGAGGGAACAGCCAGACCCTGTGAATGTTTAGCTTGGCTGGCCACCTTATCTGCCCACCCCCGGCCTTTGTCTGGCCATCTGCCCGTCAGCTGTGGGATTGCCTTCCAGGAGGAGGAATCAGGGGCTGCCTCACCGCATGACCTAGCGACTACCCTGCGTTGCTGGACTCTTTATCCCCCTGAGACCTCGAAGGCCCCTCCCATGCTGGTAGTGTCATTCCCACAGGGTCCTCTGAGACTCTGCTGCTCTATTGTTCTGGAAGAACAAAACCAGGTCACATCACTCCTCTGCTCTGGTGTTTTCCTTTCTCACCCGTAGAAGCCACAGTCACCACAGTGAGCCACAAGGCCCTACCCAATCTGGCCTTTTCCCCAGGGTCCCTCTGCTCCAGCCACTCTGGTCTATTTGTTGTTCCACAAATATGCTAAGCACATTCCTGCCCCAGGGCCTTTGCACTTGCTGTTCTCAACCCAATATTTGCATGATTTGTCTCCTCCTCTCCTCCAGGTCTTTGCTGAAATGTCACCTCTGACCTTTCTATTTAAAATGTTAACATCTGTTTTCTTTTTCTCACACACTTTTCCTATCTCCTGTTTCTGCCCTTTTTCCCTCCTTAGCATGTGTCACCCCTTGACATACTATATTTTTTATTTCATTGTTTCTCACTAGAATGAAAACTGCAAGAGTCTAGGAATTTTGGTCTTTGTTGAATGGATGAAAGGATGGATGAATGAATGAGTGAATGAATGAACAAATGAATGACAATGTTTCCAAGTGTCAGGAAAGTCTCTGCAGTCTGCTGGGAGTGAGGGTGGCTGTGTGATCTGGCAGGTATGAGACTGGGGGTTCCAGGTCCAGTTCTGCCCCGATTTGCTGTGTGACCTTGGGTAGGTCCCTTTCCCTCTCTGAACCTTTTTTTCAAGTATAATAAGGAGAGTGGCATGGCAGAGTATAAGGAATACTGGCTCTGGAGTCAGACGGGGTCAAATCCCCACTGGGACATTTACTATTGGTGAGGCCTTAGGCAAGTCACTTCTCTCTGAGCGTCTCCCCATCTGTGAGGTGGGATGGGGGTCAGAAAGATACACAAGATGCTGTGTGGTGAGCCCCTAGCACCTGACAAGTAGAAAATGTTCAGTGAATAATCTTTACTCTTTTAAAAAGTACCCGAAGGGCTCATCTGCCACTGGGCGTGGAAGAGGATGGAGCCGTGGAGTCTCCTAACCCAGAGGGCCTGTCCTACCTCCCCTGGGCCCAGATCTGGCCGAGGTTGCCCCTCTCGGGCAGCGGCTGCTTCCTCAGCAGGCGCTTGGCCTCTCGCTGGGTGGTCTGGGCGGGCGGGCTCAGCCATGAGACCCCTGTGCCACAACCGTGGCTCTCCTCTCCCCACGCAGCATTCATCTGCAGCTTCATGGTGGCCGCCCCCATCTTCGGCTACCTGGGTGACCGCTTCAACAGGAAAGTGATCCTCAGCTGCGGGATTTTCTTCTGGTCGGCTGTCACGTTCTCCAGCTCCTTCATCCCGCAGCAGGTGAGGCCTGCCCGGGCCTTCCACCCGGCATTCCTGCTCATCCTGTCCGTGTGTCCTGGTTCCTCCAGCGGGTGGCAAGTCTGATTGACCTATCTTCGTCTAGACTGGGGTTCCAGCCCGTTGGGTCCAAGTATCGTGGGATGAGGGGGGTCTCTGGGTACTTCTATACACTGGCCCTACTGATTGGGCTTTCCCTGTGCTGGCCTTGAACTGAGGGACTCACGGCCCTGTGTGGCATCCTGACTCTCTCTGAGCTGCTTCTGATGTGGGGAGGATGCAAGGATCAGGGGGGCAAGTCTGGCCAAGGAGTCAGGGCCCTTGGGTTCTAGTTCTGGCTCTGCTGTCATCTTGCTGTGTGACCCTAGATGCGTCACTACCCTTCTCTAGGCCTCACACAGTTTGCTCTTTGTCCGACCATCAGCCAGCTCCTTGGGTCAAAGTCCTAGGGAGACAAACATTAGTTCAGTGTCAGGAAGAGCTTTCTTTCTGTTTTTTTTTTTTTTTTGGTTACAATGTGCAGCTTGTGGGATGTTAGTTCCCCAACCAGGGATTGAACCCAGGCCCTCAGCAATGAGAGTGTGGAGTCCTAGCCACCGGACTGCCAGGGAATTCCCAGGAAGGAAGATGTTTCTTACTTGGCTCTCACAGTTCTGGATTTGAATATCCCAATTCTGTGGCCCACTCAGCTTTGTGATCTGGAGAAACTTCTCTGAGCCTCAGTTTCCTCATCTTTAATTGGGGATAATACTTCTTAGTATGAAGGGTGGTTGTGAGAAATAATTGAACTCATGAATGTCCAGACCCTGACACATGGCAGGTTTCAACAAATCATTATTTCTGTTCTTTCTTCCAATGAGGAGATATGTTGCTCTGAGAGGTAGTGAGTGTCCCGTCACTAGGGGTCTTTAAGCAGAGGATGGACAATCACATGATGGCTACTATAGAGGGAGATAGAGGAAGAAGGGGACGGACTTCCCTGGTGGCGCAGTGGATGAGAATCCGCCTGCCAATGCAGGGGACACAGGTTCGAGCCCTGGTCCAGGAAGATCCCACATGCCGCAGAGCAACTAAGCCCGTGCGCCACAACTACTGAGCCTGCACTCTAGAGCCCGCGAGCCAGAACTACTGAGCCTGCATGCCACAACTACTGAAGCCTGCGCGCCTAGAGCCCATGCTCTGCAACAAGAGAAGCCACCACAATGAGAAACCTGCGCACTGTAATGAAGAGTAGCCCCCGCTCGCTGCAACTAGAGAAAGCCTGCATGCAGCAATGAAGACCCAAAGCAGCCAAAAATAAATAAAATTAAATCTTAAAAAAAAAAAAAGAAGGGAGAAGACCAGGATTTGCCTTCAGGGAGTGTTCAGCCTAGGGGACAAAGGAGGAGACCCTGGCCTTGGGAGCATCCAGGCCTGGGGATGGGAAGATGTGACAGGAGCTCCCATGTTCAGAGCCTTCAAGATAAGCAAAGTGCTGAAAGTCCTCACTGAAGAGAGAGCAGTCTCTGACATCCATGTGGTCAGGGAAGACTTCCTGGAGGAGGTTGGCAGTTGAGCTGGGCAGGCAAGACAGGGAGGTTAGGCCTTTTGGTGAAGATAGCACAGGCAGAGGGAGCAGCCCCATGGAGGCAGAAATGGTGGAGTGTGTTGGTAGATTGAGGAGCAGAGTGCTTTGGCTGGAAAGGAAGGCAGGGACCAGGTCATGGAGAGCCTTGAATGCCAGGTTGGAAGGCCTGAGCTTTCTCCTGAGGGAAGTGCTGGACCCTGGAAGAGTCTGAAGAAGGGCAATAGTGAGTCAGATTTACACTGATCGAGAGGAGGTTGAAGGTGAGGGCAGAGAGAACTGGCAGGTTTGGGGGATACAAGTTTGCTTCATGGGGCAGCTTCATAGCGAAGGGTCAGGCCAGGTAATAAGCTCCAGGCCTAGGACTTCCCTGGTGGCACAGTGGTTAAGAATCCACCTGCCAATGCAGGGGACACAGATTTGAGCCCTGGTCTGGGAAGATCCCACATGCCACGGAGCAACTAAGCCCGTGCACCACAACTACTGAGCCTGTGCTCTAGAGCCCACGAGCCACAACTACTGAACCTGTGAGCCACAGCTACTGAAGCCCGTGCACCACAACGAAGAGTAGCCCCTGCTAGCCGCAACTAGAGAAAGCCCGTGTGCAGCAATGAAGACCCAATGCAGCTAAAAATAAATTTAAAAAAAACCCCAAAAAATCCCAGGCCTAGAACGTCAGGTAGAGCCTGATGGCCACAGTCAAAAATGGGGACTGGACCAGAAGAAGCTTCTGGACCCCCTCTGGCTCTTGTTCTGCCCCTGATCAGGCTCCTCCTCATCTGACCTCTGGGGCTGCTTCTGGGGTTAACCAGTGAGTACAGGACCACGATGTCAAGTCTGGGCCCCACTCTGGGTGTGTGGAAGGAAGGGAGAGATGGGGAGAGAAGATGAGCAGAGGCAGAGAGAGAAACGGATCACTCCCAATTAATCTATGAGTTCATTGCAGTCACAATCCGAGTCCCGTGGGGGTTTTTGGTGGACCTTGGCAATGTGATTCTGAAGTAAATCTGGCAGAGAAAGTGCCCAGGAACAGCCAAGAACATTGTGAAAACAACAATGAAAGGGCTCTTGTCCTATCAGTTATCAAAACACGGCTATTCTAATGAAAACAGCAGAGGGATAAACTAAGAGATCAAGGAAACAGAGTCCTCCTTTCTATGGGAATTGAGTGGAGGATGGAAGTTGCATCTCAAATAAATGGTTTTGGGAGTATTGACTCTCCATCTGGATGGAAGATAAAGTATGGTCTGTATTTCTAACCATACTTCAAAATAAATCCCAGCTAGGTGAAAGTAAAGTAAAAAGCAAACCATAAAGGTCTAGAACTATAATTCAACAAGAAAAAGACAAACAACCCGGTAGAAAAAATGGGCAAAGGATAGTGACAGGCACTTCCAGGGGAAGATCCCCCAACAGGCAACATATGTAGGAAGAGACGGTTCTCGGCTTCTTGAGTAATCAGGGCACTGCAAATTAAAGCAACAATGAGTTACCGTTTCACACCCATCAGATTGGCGGCAATTAAAAAGGCGGACAATACCAAGTGTTATTCAAGCTACTAGTGGGAGTGTAAATTGGTAGAGCCTCTTTGGAGAGCAAAGTGGGGCAGGATTTTGTAAAATTCTGTGTACACTGCACAGCCCAGCCTTCTACTTGGGGGTATATGCCGAAGGGAGAAGCTCCAACTCGTGGACACAAAGTGACAGGTTTACGTAAGGATGTTTGCTGCAAGTTTTGTAATAGAAAAAAAAGACAGAAACTAAATGACCTCGACTTGGGGGACGCCCAGGTAGAATGGGGTGTATTCATACTGTGAGCTTCTTAGCAGCAAATGAATGAACTAGATCTATATTAACCAGCTGAAATGGGTTTCCAAAAGATGAGGGAAAAAAATCAAGTTGTGGGACAAGACGCATGGAACGCTTTTTTTTTTTTTAGTATTTATTTTACTTTTGGCTGTGTCGGGTCTTAGCTGCGGCACGCATGATCTTCGTTGCGGCACGTGGGCTGCTGTCTAGTTGTGGCTCGCGTGCTCGGTAGTTGCGGCCTGGGGGCTCCCAGTCCCCCAACTAGGGACCGAACCCGCGTCCCCTGCACTGGAAGGTGGATTCTCAACCACCGGACCAGCAGGGAAGTCCCAGGGATGGTCTTTTTATGTTTATTGTGTGAGAGCACACAGGGGACACTAAATGTTGTTCCTTGGTACGTGTATGTGCAGGCAAAGGTAGAGAGGAAGCCGCGACAAATGCACAAGATAGCCAGTTCCTGGGGGAGGAGTGGGCATCTATGGGATCCCTTGTCAAAGAGGTCTTATCTGCCTGCTCTTGTACGGAGGAGAATAAGGAAATCACTCCCGTTTTCTTTCTCTTTCTAAAATATAACAAACATAAAAGAATATTGTGTATCATTCTGGGATGGACTAGCCCTTCTTGAGCAAGATGTGAAATCCAGAAGCCGTTAAGGGAAAATCAACAGCTTGGACAGCATCAAATTAACCAACACAAAATAAAGCTTCTGTATGATGAAACTCCCCACACACAAAGTGGAAAGGAAGATGATGGAAAATATTTGTGACCTATCTAATAAACCTCAATTCCCATGATATAGAAAATGCTAACAGAAACCAATACGAGAAAGACAACCCAACAGAAAAATAGGCAAAGGCTGTGGGCTGCTGCTTCTCCGGGACAGAAGCCCAGGCAAGGGGCCAGGAGAAGGAAGACTCAGAGATGGAGGGTGAGAGAGCGAATGAACTATGGAAACAAGAGGCACAGACATGGATGGCAGGACCAGCGGCACAGAGAGAGGGCCGGGAAAGAGATGTGCAGAGACAGGGAGACCTGGAGGAGGGCTGGATGTGGGCAATGCTGGCCGGATGGGTGGTCGGGGTGGGGCCGGGGAAAAATGACCAGGCTTGGTTCTCAGGCCCTGGGCAGCTGGGGGGATGGAGGGGCTGGGTCCACATCAAAGGGGTAGAACCACTGGCAGCTGGCACGGCCCCACCCTTCCCATGTAGCTGGGCTTTGCTCTTTGATGTGTGCATGGGGGAGGGGCACTGAGCCCACTGGGCTGCCCTGCCCACTCCCCATTTACACTGCGTCCTCAGTGCTGCTAGGGTCAGCCCAGCTGCCTGGTCAGGCAAGATGGGGCCAGAACCCAGGGAGGAAGTCTCCCAATGAGTCAGGGTGGCAGTGGAGACACAGGCTTACGCCCCCCGCCAAACCTACAACTCTCAGCCCCTGAAAGTCCAGCTCCATCCGAGCACTGGGCCAGCTAGACCCAGTCCGACCCACTATTCAGAGGCAGGAACTGAGGCCCAGAGTGGCCTGGGGTGTAGTCGTTGCTGAGGCAGGGGTTGGGCTCCACCCTCTCTCCTGTCTCCTGGGCCCTGCCGCGGGTAGGGAGCAAAGCGGGGAGCAGGCAGGGGAGCAGGCAGGGGAGCAGGCGGGCCCCCCCAGCGCTCTCCGCCCCTCCCCACAGCACTTCTGGCTGCTGGTCCTGTCCCGCGGGCTGGTGGGCATCGGTGAGGCCAGCTACTCCACCATTGCGCCCACCATCATCGGCGACCTCTTCACCAAGAACACGCGCACACTCATGCTGTCTGTCTTCTACTTCGCCATCCCTCTGGGCAGGTGAGGATCCGGGCTAGGTCCCTTCGGGTTTCTCACCACTCCCTCTCCCTGGAGTTTGGCCCTCTGTGACCTAAACACATGGGCAGGCAGCCTTGAGAAGCGCCTGGACCAGCTCCCTGGCTGGCTGGGTGGGGGCGGGGGCTGGTGGCCTCCTAGACTGGTGAGCATCCCCTGCCCCCGACGCCCTGCCCATCCCTGCCTGACCGTCCCGTCCTCTCTGCAGCGGCCTGGGCTACATCACCGGCTCCAGCGTGAAGCAGGCGGCCGGAGACTGGCACTGGGCCTTGCGGGTAAGGACACCCCCAGACCAGCCGTTGCCCAGGGTCACCCAGAGATTCAGGGACAGAGCCTCAGCCGCCAGGCTCCCCACCTCGCGGGCCTGGGCTCTTCTCCTTCAGTTCACTTGGAGGTGTGAAGGGTGCCAGACTCGCCCCACTCGGGGCCCCAGTCTGTGAGGACGAAGGAAATTCCACGTTCACGGCAGCACTTCCTGCTGTGGCCTGTGCTGGGGCGGGGCTGAGGCGAGACCCCTGTGTGAGGGCCCCGGGGTCTGGAACCACTTCCTGTCCTGCAGGAGGACTCGGCACAAGTCTGCCAAGGCCGCGGACAGTGCAATCAGAGGAAACAGAGATCCCCAGTCTTGTGAAGGAGAGGAAGCTTAAGACAAAGTGTTTTTTCCTCAAAAGCAGGAAGGAAGCAGCCTCCGTGGAATTTTTTCATGGGGGGCGGCGAATGGAGAGGAACTCCCCAGACCATGGGCTCCCAGGCCTGGTGGGGATGGGTACAGATTTCCCTGTTTTCAGGAGCTGGTGGAGGGACTGGTATATTGGAATCCAGACTCGCGAGATGTGCCCTTTCCATCTGGAGAGAGGCCTGGGGCCTTGGAGATTCTATTCTCCACACTGGGCAGGATGCAGGGAAGACCCAAAGGGGCTCCTGAGCCTCTGTTCTCCTGGAACCCACACGGGCCCCTCCCAAACCATAAGCTACATGCGCAGCCAGTCCCTTCTCAGTGCCCCCCCCGCCACCAGGGTGAGGAGCTGGCCCGGGAAGCTTTTCCAGACCCAGGGAGGCGGGCAGGAGCTGGTATCTGGCTCCCTGTCCCCAGGAACTCTCCTCTCCCAGTCATCATTCCATATGTCCGCCCACCTACCTTCCTTTTGTTCCATCGATCACCCATCATCCGTCACTCGTCACCCATCACCTATCCACTCATCCGTCCTCCTGTCCTTCCATGTGTTAATTCATCCACCCAGCAATCTATCCATCCAACCATCTATCTGTCCATCCATCTCTCTGACTATTCAGCCATCTGTCCTCCCTCCTCCATCCATCTGACCATCCCTCCCTCCCTTTCACTTTCCGTCCTCTCTCCCATCCGGCCCCTGGGCGGCACAGCCCATTTTGAGCCCCCAAGCCCCATATGCTAGCCTCACCCACAGCGGCTTTGCCCAGTCAGGAAGCCTGGGCAGATACCAGCCCAGAGGAGGAGCCCGGGGCCCAGAGAAGGCGTGGCTGGCCTGCTCCCCCTTCCAGGTGCAGCACAGACAAAGACACCTGAGCCCTGGTGTCCTGACTTGGTGCACCCTGACCCACCAGGTGTCCCCCATCCTGGGCATGATCACAGGAACGCTCATCCTCGTCCTGGTCCCGGCCACTAGGAGAGGCCACGCTGACCAGCTCGGGGGGCAGCTCAAGGCCCGGACGTCATGGCTCCGAGACATGAAGGCCCTGATCCGCAAGTGAGTACTGCTGGGAGGAGTCCAGTGGGAAGAGGGAGGGAGGGGCGCCGAGATGAGAGGACCCCGACTTGCAGGGTGGCCCACGCAGCCTGCTTGGCCAGACTCCTGTCCACAGTGCTGGGGCTACGAGTGTTTACGATCCCTGAAGCCAGAGCCCTCAGCCCCAGGGCCCGTAGGCAAGGCATTTGAGGCCTTCTGTCCCTGGGGGAAGGAGGGAGGGAAGCCTGCCTCCTGGGCCCGACCCTGCCAGCTGCGGGGATGCTGGCCCCCCGCTCAGTGTTGCTGCCCCGGCCTCTCCCCAGCCGCAGCTACGTCTTCTCCTCCCTGGCCACGTCAGCTGTGTCCTTCGCCACAGGGGCCCTGGGCATGTGGATCCCGCTCTACCTGCATCGCGCCCAAGTCGTGCAGAAGGCGGCGGAGACGTGCAGCAGCCCGCCCTGTGCGGCCAAGGACAGGTGCGGCCAGGCGGGCTCAGTGGGCGGGCGGGGATGGCAGCGGGGTGAGGGAGGCCGCCGGCCCCTCTACCCCAGCCCTGCCCTCTAACCCGTGCTGCACCGTCCTCTGTCTCCGCAGCCTCATCTTCGGGGCCATCACCTGCTTTACGGGTTTTCTCGGGGTGGTCACGGGCGCAGGAGCCACACGCTGGTGCCGCCTGCGGACCCAGCGGGCTGACCCGCTGGTGTGCGCTGTGGGTATGCTGGGCTCCGCCATCTTCATCTGCCTCATCTTCGTGGCGGCCAAGAGCAGCATCGTGGGGGCCTATGTGAGTGCGGTGGGAGTGCCAGGGTGGCCAGGGAGCTGGGCTCTGGAGGAGGAAATGCAGTCTGACTTGGGGCAGGGGGAGGCTCCCCCACGGGGAGGCTTCAGTCGTCAGTCTGCCCCTGCTCTGTCCAGGGCTGTGGGCCTGGCTTGAAGCCTGTAGCTAATCCACAAATTCCCCGTGCGCCTGACCGCCAGGAGCCGGGGGGAAGGCTTCTGGGGGCTCCCGGCCAGCAGTCAGGGTGCAGGGAGCAGCCTGGGGCCAGTGGCGGGTAGAGCGCCCCCTGATGGTTGCTCTGGTCTCTCCCGGGCAGATCTGCATTTTTGTAGGGGAGACGCTGCTGTTTTCTAACTGGGCCATCACAGCGGACATCCTCATGGTGAGGCAGGCCAAGGTTGCCTCGTGCTGACTGGGGCCTCTCAACCTCTCGGGGCAGATGGGGAGGGTGGGTGAAGGGGTGGGAGAGCCGGCTGGGCTTGTGAGGGGAGAGGGGATCAGAGATTTGGGGGTCTGCATCGGGGCAGGGCCTGGAATCAGAGGGTTGAGCAGGCAGAAGGGCAGGATGTGGGGACTGGGTGCGGAGGGCGATGTCTGGAGGCTCAGGTTAGTGGCCGAGAGGCTGGCAGTGCCAGGCTGGCACCAGAGTGGTGCTGTCTGCCAGGGCTCCACCCTCAGGGTCTGAGCTCCCGTGGACTCTGCCCTCCCGGCTCAGCCCGGGTTCCAGGCGCGCCTGCCCGAGTGCCCGTGGCTGGGTCGGGCAGACAGAGGCTGTCTTCACGGGGCCAACAATGGGCTCTAGACCAGGCGGCCAGGGACAAAGAGCCATCTGAGCGGCGGGCGGCAGGGGCTCGTGTCCTTGGGCGGGGATGGGAGCAGCCTGGGAGGAAGCAGGAGGGGGCTGTGGCCTCGAGAACAAGCGGCAGTCTGGGACGGGGGTGGTGGAGGGGGGTCTGGCTGGTCCTGTCCTCAGTGATCCTCCAAGTCAGGGCCGGGAGAGAACTGGGAGAAGGGTATGCAGGGGACCGGCGGCGGCGGCGGCGGCGGGGAGGGTGGGAGGTGCCAGGGTGGGCCCTGGGGGCAGGGGGGGAAGGACTCCTCATGGGGCCACCTTCAGCGCACTTGGGGTTTGGTGCCAGGATGTGGGTCAGCCTAGGAGATCAGTCTGCCTGGGCATGAGGGCCCCTGGCTAGCTCCCCTCCAGGAAGCCTGCCGGGCCCCGCCCGAGCTTCCCTGTGTACATGCTTCACCCGGGGTGGTCTCTCTCCAACACCGCCCCCCCTCACCCAGTCCCTGGCTAAAGGTGTGGTGGGCGGGAGGTCTGACTCAGCTCAGTGCCAGGCGGGGATCACTGCACACGCGGGAGCGAAGGTTGGAGTGAGTTTGCCTGAATCAAGTACCCTTGGCCGTAGGCAGGACCCCCTCCTCTGCCCCCAGCCCCAGGGGCAGCCCCAGATGCTGACAGGGTTTGGGCCCCAGGGAAATCGTGTCCCATTTTATTAAGTGTCACAGCCAAGTGACTAATTATTCCTGGAAATTGGGCCACGCAATCCAGGTCTCCCCTCCCCCCCAGTAACTGGGTGCCCGGTGGGCACTGGCTGCTCTCAGACTGTCCACAAAGGCTGGGGCTCTGACTAGATGAGGAAGCTGAGCTCGGGGGCAGGGGGCTGCCACCAGCCCCTCTGTCTGACCTTGGCCCGCCCAGCTTTGGAGCTGCAGCCCCTGTGGGTCAGGGCCTGCTTGGTCTGGCGGGGGTTCTGGGGGCCCAGCAGCTCTGGCAGTCCGTGCTGGGGGTAAAAGTGGAGGCTCTTCGAGGCAGGGTCCTGCTTCCCCACCATCACCCATCCCAGCCAGCCCAGGCCTTGGCAGGTCCCCACGGAGGCGAGACCAAGATGGGTCTTTAGCTTGTGGGGAGGTGAGGGCAAGATTGAGGTCAGGGTTCTGGTCCCAGGGTTGCCACGTGTGATCCCTGTGCCCGGTGCACTTGGCTCCCCGCCAAGGGCCAAGTGCAGACGCTAAGGCAACCTGGTCTCAGAAGCTGGGGAGGAGGGGGTGAGGGCCCAGGAGAGCAAGTCGAGACACCAGGGCAGGAGCGAGTCTGAGGCCACGGGAGCTTGAGAAGTGTTGTGACCCCTGGGCTGAGGCCAGGGGGGCAGAGCTGACTCTGCTGGCCTCTGACCTGCTGCCTCTCGCCCAGTATGTGGTCATCCCCACCAGACGGGCCACCGCCGTTGCCCTGCAGAGCTTCACCTCCCACCTGCTGGGGGATGCCGGAAGCCCCTACCTCATTGGCTTTGTGAGTACTGGGGGTGGGGTTGGGGGGGGGGTGCAGGGCTCTGGAAGGTGGCCCCGCCCTAACATGCACCCCCATCCCACAGATCTCCGACGTGATCCGCCAGAGCACCAAGGACTCCCCGCTCTGGGAGTTCCTGAGCCTGGGCTACGCCCTCATGCTCTGCCCCTTCGTCGTGGTCCTGGGTGGCATGTTCTTCCTGGCCACCGCGCTCTTCTTCCTCAGCGACCGCGCCAAGGCTGAGCAGCAGTGAGTGCGGGGGTGAGGGTGGGCTTGGAGCGGGTGGGCCAGCTGGCTGACAAGGTCCCCGCCTCCACGCCTCCCCGATGCTGCCTCCAGCACAAGAGGGGGCCCAGGGTGGCCCCGGGGCGTTTGTGGTGGTTCTAGGTGGGTTTTTCCCTGGAATGAATGTTTTTCAGAATTGGGGGTCTGGCCCTGCTTTTCTCTCTCATTTTCTGACTTCTTTCTCCTCTCTTTACTCCTCTTTCTCTCTCTCTCTCCCTCCCTCTCTCCTCTCCCCACTCCTGGGCTCTCCCACCTCCCCCTGGGGCTGACGAGGTCCCTGCCCAGCACATCCGGTCCGCCGGCCCCCGCGATGCGATGCGCCAGAGCAGTGCCCGGGCCAGGCCCCCGCTGATCTGCCACCTTGACCCCCGCCCGTCTCTCCCCCAGGGTGAACCAGCTGGTGATGCCGTGTGCATCTGTGAAAGTCTGAGGCAGTGAGTGTGGGTCCGGGGGGCTGGGGGTGAGACTCCTTGCAGGAGGGCAGAGGCAGGGTTAGTGGAGGGGGAGCACGCAGCTCGCCGTGGAAGGGTGTTCTGGAAGCAGGAGCAGCTCCTGCGTCACTCCTGCCTGAGCACATCCCAACCCTGGGTTTGGTCCTCTTCCTGATGAAATGTTGCCCGAGTTGACCAGTGGACCCATGGGAGGGGGGCAGCTCCCCCTTCCTTCCTCAGAAGGGCTGGGGGCATAGGTCAGGGTGGGGACTGGCCAGGAACTCCCTGCTCGGTTCTGGACTCTGTCCTCCCGAATCCTCCTAGAGGTGCCAGGGCCTGACTCCTCCTTGGACCTTCCTCTGGGCCTGGCCTCTGGGGGCTGCAGCTTCCCGGCAGTGCGAAATCCAAGGTCACTGCCCCACGCCTTGGCTCCAGTAGACCCACGCCCTTCATGCTACCAGGGCCCCGAGAAAGGCCTGTTTCTCCCCCATAGGGAGGATGGTGAAAGAGGGAAGCTCTGGAATGGGCTCCGCACCTGACCTCTGACCCCCTCCCTCCAGGTGCTACTGGGATAATGAAGAACCCTGGCTCCTACCTAGTCTGGGAGGTGTCCCCCGACGCCCTGGCCCCGTAGGGCTGTCCCGAAGCTTTCCATGTGACCCACAGCTGGGTGCCCACCGGCTCTGCTCTGGGACTGCTGAGTGGCCTTGGCTCCAAGAAGCTGTGTCCTCAGCTAACCTGGAAGGCTGTGTGTGCTGGAGCCATGCGCTGGGACAGACCCCCAGGCCTGGGTCTGGGCTGCAGGGGCCCTGGGCCCCAGGAAGACGACAGCCCACTGTGGGTATGTGGGGAGAGGCCGGCCTGTCCCCGGCTTATGTGATCCTGGGGCAATCTCTGCCCTCCCCAGACTCTGGGGCCGGGGGGCTGGACTTTCCCGCACAGCTTGCTGGGCAAGGCGTCATCTGCAGCTTTGAAGACACGACACCCCGTGGACTGCACAGAGAAGGGGTGGCCCAAGCCTCAGGGCGGCACTTCCGGCTCTGAGGCTCCCTGAAGCGCCTGGGGCGTGAGGACTGCAGCCTGTCAGCTGGGCCTCTGACCTTGTGGACGTTGGACTCAACCTGGCAGAGCCGGGCACCCAAGTTGCTGGTCGCTCTGGAGGACATCTGTCTCTGCTGCCTTGGGCTGGCTGTCAGCTCGGAGATCTCCCAGGTGGGGGACCATCCTGACAGGGAGCTGGCATTACCAGGAGTGAAGGCCCTGGTGGCAGCTACACCCCACCTGTGCCCCAGGCTTGAGACCTTTGGGGGTTCCCCATGCCTACAGGGCTCCTTGGATCCACCATAGCACCCCCACCCCCCAGAAGCCAGGAACTGACTCTGGCCCGCAGGCTGGGCCCTTTCCAGGGGCAGCGCCCAGGGGACAATTCCCAGAATCTGTGGGGCAGCAGCCAGAGCTCTGGCCGTCAGAGGAAGCAGCCCTCCACTAAGCTTCCTGGCCCAGGGCCGAGCCTGGTGGGAGCGGAGGCACATCGGGACAGGCCAACACCCAGAGCCACCTCCACGCAAACAGCAGCTGCTTTCAAATGCAGCCCTTTCCAGACCCCCCCCCCCCGCCCTCAGAGCCACACGCTGGGGCGCCAGCCCCCCAGCTTCCCCCGTGGAGCTCATCACATCCCCTCTGCGTCACACACTCCCTCCCGGTACCTCTGCTGGAATCAAGGTGGTTCTGGTCTCGGTGGCCCCGTGTGGCCAGCAGGAGACCCTAAGAGCCCTGCGTCACACACTTCCTCCCGGTACCTCTGCTGGAATCAAGGTGGTTCTGGTCTCGGTGGCCCCGTGTGGCCAGCAGGAGACCCTAAGAGCCAGCCAGCTTAGTGCTCTCTGCCCACAGTTGAAGGGCTGGCGTGGCTTCAATGGTGGGGAAGTTAGTGGTGTAGCCCCCCTCCCCACCAAGCTCTGGGGCACCCTGGTGGGGGGGCTAACCCAGGGGTGGGCTTCCCCCAAAGACCAGCCTGGCCTCGACTGGGGCCCCAGCAATGTTTTCTTGTTGTACAAGAACCAGGTCCAAGTGTTGCTTCCTCTTCCTTCCGGAAGCCAAACTGCTCCTTTATTTTTTAGAGCTGCTGATTGTGAATCTCAGAGTCTTAAGAGAGAAGCCAAATATATTCCTCTTGTAAATGAAGAAATAAAGATATTTAAGTCACGCCCCAGTGGCTCCCGCAGGAAAGCAGCCTGGGGGGTACGAGGCATGGTCACACTTGTACCCCACCCGCCAGATACCAGAGCCCTGGGCCTGGCCCACACCGCTTGGGGAGCCAAGGTCCCAAGCGTGCTGTGTGCCTGAGAGCAGCGGCAGGGCCTAGCCCAGGGCTGGGGTCTCTGAGGCCACGCCTGCTGGGGCAGGACCTGCCAGCAGGCTGGCAGCAGACCTCCCACCCCCGGCGCGGAAGGCAGAATCTCAGACGGTGGCTTGTGTATTAAAATTGCGGTGAAAAAATAGGAGTCTCTAGGGCGGATGGGGACACTCACAGCTTTTTCGCCTTCCTCAGCTGCCCCTTCTTCTTGACCCCGCTCTGGAGGAGGCTGGGGCTCCTGCTGGCCAAAGACAACCTGGCCTTTCTCCGAGGCAGCGCGGACTGCGGCGACTTGCCTGAAACCCCCTTTTGGGGCAGATTCTTCTGACGCTTTTTGGCAGCAGGCTCCTTGGGGGACTCAGGAGACACGGGGGTGGCTCTGCTCACCTGGGACAGCTTCCGATTTTTCTTCTGCAGCTTTGGGGTCTTGGCGGGGCTGCTGGGGCTCGTGGCAGGGGGCTCTGGGGTCGGACTCTTGGAGGCAGGCAGCCCCTGCGCCTGGGACTGGGCTGGGCCCTTGCGCTTGATCTTCCTCTTCCTCTTGCCAGTGCTGGGGGGCTGGTCCCCACCGGCGGCTGCGGGCTTGGCCGCCTCCTCCTGCGTGGCGTCCTCGGACTTGCGTTTCTTACGCTTCTTGGTCTCTGGCAAGAACCCCTTTTTCTTCCGCTTCATGCTAATAGGGCTCGGCGTGGCCTTAGGGACTTCCTTGGCATCCTTCTTCTCTGACTTGGGACGCCTGGGAGGAAGTGAGCAAAGGAAAGAAGTATGTGGTGAGGGCAGGGTTGACCTCTGCGTCCGTGGTCCCCAAGCTGCCCAAAGCTCCCACACTGCGGTGCAGACACCAGGACGTGTGCAACGTGAGGGTCTTCCCAGCCCCTCCCAAGGTGGGGGCCCCCTCTCCCCGAACGTACTGGACTCCGAGGAACTTCATGGCCTGCCAGTAGAGATCATAGAGGCGGCTGGAGCCGGCCGAGTGCGCCCCCTGCTGGAGCCCCTGCTGCAGCCTCGGCTGTTGGCTCTGCAGCACGCCCAGGACAGCGGTCAGGTCCATCGTCAGCTTCTGCAAAGGGGCAGGAAGGCTGTGGCTGCAGTGGTGACATGAGGCATGGCCTGCCTCTCCCTGGCTCCTGGCCCCTGTCCTCCCACCCTTGCCCAGTGAGAGCCACTCTGTGAGCCCACCCCCCTTCTGGACCCTCAGCCAATCCTGCCTGTACATCCCTAGTCTCTCGCGTTGCAAGGAAAAAAGAGCCCCAGGTGCCACGTTCTGTTCTCTTCCCACAGCCCATAAGGCCCACCCACCTCCGGGGTGCCCCATGCAGTGACCTCAGGGTTGCCAATGCCTTTCCTCCTATCTCCCCCTCCCCGTCACATACTGAATGGGTTGTTTTTCAAATCCATGGGCTTCCAGAACACCTCTCCTGACTTTTTACTGCCCCTCTGCGCGTGGCTTCTCAGGGCCGCTGGCCGCTCTGCAAGGCCCCGCCCTGTCTGCTCCCTGCAGCCCCCTCTTGGAAGCTTATCCCACGCCTGGGCTTTGATCGAGTGTCTCCGCTAAGAACCCCCAAACCTCTTCCTCTGGGCCAGACTGGAGGAACCAGAGCCTTGCCCACAGCGGCCCCTTGAGCATCTCACGTTCCACCCGCCCGGCCCGCCTCCGAAGGCCCAGAAACCCGTGCCCCGCGCTCACAGCCGCGTCCTCCCGTGGTCGCCAGCCCTCCCAGCCCCTTCTCGGTTTTCTTACTGGAGCAGAGGGACAGCCCCTGGCTCACCCCACCCCGGCCAGGCACTGGCTGTGGCACCCTCGCCCCTCACACGAAGCCCAGATTCCTGAGCCTAGCGTCCAGAACCTTCCCCACCTGTCTCCCCACCTGCCCCCTCACCTCTGCTCAGACTGCCTACTCTGCCTGCGTGGTGCCCTCCCTCCTGCGCCCAGGCTCACCTCATGATGGATGTTCCTGAAGAGAACGTTGAGCAGCTCCAAGGAAGACAGCTCCTTCTGGCGCCCTGACTTGGTCTCGGCCTCACCCAGCGTCCGCAGGGTCTAAGGAGAAGGCAGCCAGGCTGAGCCCCTCCAGAGAGCTGCCCAAAGCCTTGCTGTTGCCCACACGAAGAGATTGGGGCGCCGAGGAGAGAAATGCCTCCTTGGGGGGACCCCCAACACACCCCCAGGCGCAGGGTCCAGCAACCCTTGCCCCTTGGTTCCCAGAGCACCACTGCCAGTGGGCGGGGGAGCGGAGCCCCGTGGCTGTTACCTCGGTGACCTTCGCCAGGACCTGGTCCAGCAGCTGCTCCCACTCGGGGTCCTTAAAGCACAGCCTCAGCTCCCGCGTGGGCAGGGTCTTCTGGAGCAGCAGGCAGGCCTGGGCCTGGGGGGTGGGTGGAGAATGGGGTGACCAAGAGCCTCGGCACGCTGGGCCAGGGCTGAGGGAACCGCAGGGGGACCCCACGAGCTCCAGGAGCCTGCTGGGCACTAGAATAGGCCACGCGGGAGGCGCTGTCGCCACAGAAGCTCTGGGCTGGGCCCTCACCTGCCCCTTCTTCTCAGGCAGGTGGGAGAACCGAGGCCTGGGGGGCAGCCAGGGCTGTCAGTCAGCCGGACAGGGTTCCTGGCCCTCCACTCACTCAGTGCGTCCTCCTCCTGTGTCTCCAGCCCCCTCGTCCCACCCCCGCCCCCAGGCCTACACCCATCAGCCCGGGGCTTCCTCTGCGCAGGTCAGAGCATGGTCTCTGAGGAGCTGGTGGGCTCGGGCCACACAGGAAGGGCCCCCCACCCCCAGCTGCTCTGGGCCTACAGTGGGGGCGGGGCTGGCCAGGTCGGAGGGGCAGGGCCCACCCTCTGGCCCGCCCAGAGCAGCATTCCCAGGCCTCACAAACAGCTAACCAGCCAGCCAGGAGTCGAGCGGGCAATTCAGACAGGCCCTCAGCTGGGATCTGGGAAGCCCCTTACCTGATGGCGGGGCCGCGTGTGGCTTGCCACGTGCTCGACCACGATGGGGAGCAGGTTCTTACAGAGCATCTGCGGAGGGAGTGATGGGCTGTGAGCTAGGCTGTGAGGACCGGGCCGAGCAGGGGCCCAGGGGGGCGGCCTGGCACTACAACTCACCGGGTGCCGGGAGAAGAGGCTGAGGAACATGGGAGCCGTGAGTGGGCTGCTGCGCTTGGTCAGGAAGGAGCTCAGTGCCGATGAGTAGATCGGGGTCACGAGGCCCAAATCCAAGCAGCTGGCAGCCTGCACCGTGGGAGAGAGAGCTGGTGTGATGCCAGGGAGAGGGGCCCTGGCATGGGAGCAGAGCCTGGGCTGCCTTCAGAAGGCTGAAAGCTGGGTCCCGGGGAAGGCACAGCCTCAACTTCCCATCTGTGAAATGGGCAGATGGTCCCGCCACCTCCTGGGACTGGCTCCCACCGGCTTGCACTTTCCAGGCTGAGCCTTCCCGGGCCAGCGCCTGCTCACCTCTGGGCCCTGGGGCTGGGTGCCGGCGTCAGTGGCGGCTTTCTCCTTCTTCTGGGCCTTGCAGGTGGACTTGCCCACAGTGTTGCCCTTTAGGACCCGGAGCAGGTAGAGGGAGGCGTTGAAGTAGTAGAGGCAGACGGAGGAGTCAGCCTGGCGACCGGCCTGCTGCACCAGCCGCTCCAGCTGGGCGTACAGAGTCTCCACGCGGTCGCCCACGTTGCGGCAGTAATGCCGGGAGCGGCACAGGTGGTGCCTGGCGGGGGAGAGCGGGGTGGGGGTGGTCACGATGTTACCCCCCCACCCCGCCCCACGGCAGGGCCAAGCCCCAGGGTAGGGACGCCGGGCCCCATTTCACAGGCAGGAAACAAACACCTAAAGAAAGGGGTCTGACCAAGGGTGCAGGGGCAGGCCCGGGACCACATGCAGATGGGCCCTGAGGAGAAGCCGGAGGGAAACCAGCTCCCCGGGTGAGGCTCCACCACGGGCCAACACCCCGACCTGGCCACAGCCCCATCTACACCCGCCCCCCGGGGGATGGTGGCTTCCAGGCTCTTTGTAAGACACAAACCAGGGCCTGCGCGCTCAGTACCCTTCGGGCCTGGGCAGTGGGAGGGAGAACTAGATGAGCACGTGGGACCCGGGCCTGCAGGGGGCGTGAGCGGGGGCGCTGTCCACTGCCCCGCCCCACCTGCTCTGTGCTACGCACTCGGCACCTCAAGTCCTT